GGTGGGTGCTAATCAAATTCTTAAAGCCCGAAAGATGAAGAAGTTAAGAAGTCACTTAGGGGAAAATTGTTAAAGCAAGAAAGTGAACCTCTTTAACTTGTCAATCCGAAGTCATCTCCGCAACCGCAATGAACTTCTCAACTTTTGTCATCCGCAATGTCTTCATCAGCAACAAAGACTTAGTTTTTCTGTTCTTAACTTATCTGTTTACATTGTATTATCCAGTGTGCCTTGCATGGACACTTTATCAGAAAGTTAGTCTTTATTTATTCTCCATGTAATTTCCCAACTCTCTATAAATAGAGTACTCCGCTTCATGAATGAATATACAACAACTCATCTCTATTCTCTTCATATCTGAATTTCTCTCTTCATATCTTCTCATTCTCTTAGATCTTACTAAACTTACTCTCAAACATATTAAGATCTAACTCTCCTTCAGAGCAAGTCCTTATGACTTTAATCACTTTAAACAGATCGCTTATACTAACTTGTGTTTGATTGCAAACCTTATTAAGAATCAGTTTGGTGTTTACTTGATATATAACTAGTTGTCATTTATATTTCCTTACTTTTCTGCACTTAAATATTCCGCATCTAACTTTCTAACAACTCTAACTTCATATTAATGTTGAGATTTATGATCCTTTGAGATTAACTTTATTCCACAATCTATAACTTGTTCTAACGTTTTCTCAAGTGTGTTCCTCAAGTTTTTCTCTCAACACTGAGGGTTCACAATTTCGTTCATCTCATATACAAGAGGTAGAAACGAAAATCCTTCTTCTCCTTTTTAGCCTCCAATTTACTTGAGTTTGGGTGTGAGCCATTAGAGGCACGAGACGTCTGGTGCTTGCTTTCGGAAGACCAAAAAGGAAGGATTACCAGTTTATTTCCAATAATAAACTAAGGTGTGTATTTTCTAATAACCCTTTAGTAAATTTTGGAAATAGCAATATAGTTCTAGGGTTCTTGATATTCAATAGTTGTTTGCAAATCATAGTGAGAACATAAATCCTTTAAGGTGCATGTGAACTTACGGTTTATGATTTTCCACAAAAAAATTAGTTTTTCTAACATATAAAACTCATCAATATATATATATATATATATATATATATATATATATATATATATATATATATATATATATATATACATATATATTGGGATTATTAAGCAATATAGACTACTATAGTCACCAAGATTATGAAACTAGACTGAGACTTAGCGCTATATACATCTAAGTCTTTTGGAAAAGTGTTAAGGTGAAGTGCTGCCCTAACCTCGAGACACCTTCTTTTTTCAGGTGAGCGCGTAGTAACTTTCAAGAGCATAATCTAATAAAAGTATTTAGCACATGCTAATTGTATTAATTATACTCTATGTTATTTGTATAACTATAAAAGTACTGCCTATTAGGAATTAGAATTACATTTGGATATAGTATGGGTTACTGATAGATTTATAAAAGGTAGTTAGTAAGCTGGATATTGGCTAGATCTCCTTATAAGGGTAGATTGTGAAATCAGAGCGGAGTGTAGTAGTCCTCCTCTTCTTAGATGGCAAAAAATAAGAGGTCCAGATCTGACAACTGGCAAGTGTGTATGCATCATCGACCATAGTTGATGACAACATTGTATTATTCTAGGTGGTCTAATGAATTGCGTTGCTAGTGTGGACTTAACGTCATGACGTAAGGAAATTTAACGTCATGATGATCACAAGGAGTGGTAGAGTCATCAATAAAGAAGTCGGGTCCAGTGCCTCAAAACGTCAAAGCAAGAGCTGCTCAAATATCGATGAATGAAGCTCGAGCCATATTAAACTTAGGAGCTATCGAATCCTAGAGGCGGAGCGCCAGTGGTTAATGAATCAATACTCATTGAGCAAGTCAATAATTGACACACTCCTTCTCACCCAATGTTGATCCAGGAAGGAAATAATGACTCTGAGAGTTATCAAGGACCAAAAGAACCAGAGGTCCGAAGAAATGATGAACCCAGGGGCTATTGCAAGTATAAGGATTTCATGACTTGCAAGCTATCATCATTCAACAGAAAGGAAGATCCAGTCGGAGTAATAGAATGGATCTCGGAAATGGAGTTGGCTTTCGTTACATGCAGTTGCACTGGTAAGATTCAAACCATATATGTCGTAAGGCAATTTAAGGGTGCAACGATCCGTTAGTGGAACATATTGGGGAAAATGTTAATCCCTAACAAGCCATTGCAACTGACGTGGGAAGAGTTTTTGACCAACTTCAAGAGGAAGTTTTGTTCAACTGAATATATATTGGAGTTAGAGAATCAACTCCTAGCATTTCAAAAGGTAATCATGATGGTTGAAGATTACACCAATGCTTTCATGGATAAGATGGAGTTTTCACTGTGTGTAGTCCCTGACGAACTTCCCAAGATTGATAGATACTCCAAGTAGGTTATAGTTGTCATGAAGTAAGCGTTCCAAAAAGGTATCATCTAAACAAATTAGGTCCGTTATACCAACTTTAAACCCTAATTTGAGTGGGGCTAAGCATATGTAAATTATCTTATACTGCCTAGTGGTTGAGTTATAGTTAAGATCACTAACAACATTTGTTCTCATTGTGGTGTTTCAATTAGTGGAATGTAATTCAAGGACATAATATGTAAGCAACTCGTATTGTTTTTTGAGTAATCCCCCTTAACAACATACTTTGTAGTTGTTTCCTTAGCCCTAAACATCTTATGAATGGATATTCTCACTGAGTATTTCTGCTGAAAGACTTCTTATAAGGCTCGGACTGGAACTATAAGGTTTGATTCAATTTGTCAAATAATTTGTTTTGAGAGAAAAGTTGTTGTACAAGCTCTTATCTTTCTTGAGTGCAGACAATTATGCTTCCGACTATAGGATCTCACAAACTAATTTCCATCTTTGTATGACCTAGATATATATAGGTTCAGCTACACATGGTAGATTTTAAAGTTAATGATTCTCATTTGTCCTTATTTGATTTATTTTTCCCACCTAACATACTTGACCCACTTGCACCTTTTGTCCCACCAACCATATGTGGTTCACTTTCATTGATATCAGGTACAACCTTTTGTAATATGTCATCAACCTTGTTGCATCATTCTTTTTAAAATCTAGATTCATCTTGTTCTAAGTGTATTCTCATCCACTTTATTCTTAAGATATTTCTTTGACTTAAAACTTTTCCCCACATATAAACTAAATTTGTGAACCTCTCCATGTGAACATACTTTCTCTTTAATCAATTGTTTAAAAAGGCATCTCCTATTTTTTTCAATATATAAGTCTTCTCCCAATGACTCCCATTCGTTACAATCAATTGCATCAAGGTCTTCCCTTTCATATGTTTATTGCTCCTCTTTAGCCTCATTATTAATCCCAAACCATGCATACTCTACATCTTCATCAATGTTCATTCTAAAGTCACTTGTGTTAACAACGATGTCATCAACTACATTTCCTTTTACTATTATAGCATTACCATCACTATCATAATCTTTTGCCCTCTTTTGAGTTTATCTCTTTTAATTTTCTATCAAATAAGTTCCCATCATATTGATCACAATGCACTGTTGTAGGGATTGTTGTGATGTTTTCATTGTCATGAAACCCAAAAAATGGATCAAATGCATCATCTTTTAGTACTTGGACACCAATCCCACCTTCACCTTCTTTGAAACTTTCACGAATATCCATTTGTGCATACCATATTCCCACATCAATCCCATGTTCTTATGGTACTGATTTATCCCTATTTTAGTAGCTTCTACTTCTTTCTCCTAAGTAATACTTGTTTCTCGAGCTTCCATTTTTTTCTCCCGATCAATGCTTGTTTCACTAGCTTCTACTTCTTTATCATGATAAAATATATGCTTCAATCTCCATGTTTAACCTCTTAAAACATGACCTAATATCATGTCTTAGCATACAAATTATTGTTCTCCTTATTTCTAGTGAAACTGATTTGATGCACCTCCAGACACCACTGATGGCAATGATGAACTACAATGTTTTTTTTCATGTTGGGGTTCATCAACATGATCATATGTAAATACTATGTGTTCTTATTATTGGGGTTCATATCCCACTTGATCATGTCTATTTAATTCCTCAATGATGACATGATTCCTCTAATTTAGCGACATGAAGTATGTAACCATGGTGTTTATACCATGTTCAATGTACACCTAGATCACCTTGTTAGCTCCAAATGTATCCAACTAGGTTACAAATGTCTTGAGAATTACCAAAAGCTCTAAGGCCAAAAACCAAGTCTTGGTTGGGTATTATAAAGTAATAAGATATTACTGAGGGAACCATATATCATAATTCTAGCGTCAAAGCATCATGTTTATGCACTAAAAACTCGTCTATGTCAACTAAATTAACAAACATAACATTCTATTACACATAATTCATATTTGGAAAGGTGTGTACTTCATATCATGGTGAAGTTCAACCGTGAACATAGTGGGATGATCATATTTAGCAAACAAACAAAAAAAAAACACAAATGAAGTTAGCATATTCTGTTGGTATTCAAAAGTGGTAAGAATGGGTTCCAGAAGTTATAATAATACTCACCATAGTGCGTCAAATCCCATGTGATGAGGTTTTATTGTCCACATTATAAGCACCATTTTTTTCTTCAACAAATCATCACTTTAGCTCAGGAAAAGATTTAGAGTATTATAGTTGATTTAGGGTTTTTGCCCGTTAATGAAATTGAATGAGGTAGAAAATGACAGCCTACAAATAAATGTAAAATGATAGCCTACTAACAAATGTGACACTCACAAACCAAAAATCAAGAGTAAAACACACAAAAAAAATGACTATTTTTAAGAGCAAATTACTTTTTAAACCTTACCTAAAAAAGATATGCAAACCACAAGGACCATTTGTGCACTTTTTATCTTATTTCTTCTATACCCTTTTATCACTCCACCTCTTTGCCGTTCTTTAGATTCTGCTTCCATCTCTCCCCCTCCTCGATCAGATCGATCTGTGCTTATCGGCTCATAAGCTACCATTTCGTAACTCAACACATGACGCTTGGCTCAGGAGGATCCAGTGTTGTCGGTGAGTTTTTCAAACATCTTTACTCTCGCTTTGATCTTCTTCTTTGAAACCCTTTTCGCCAAATCTGCTTTTCATTTGTCAAAATTTCATTATTCTGGCACAAATATTGTTGTTATCTGTAATGGGTTAAGGGAATCGATTACTTAGTAAAAATATCGGATGTAAATTTGAACTAAAGCAAAGCTAGGTCAAATTCACCCACCTGTTATGTGTTTCGAGTTCGATTCTTTTGGGGATTTTTGTTGTTTGGTGGATTCTTGCTATCTTCTCTTCAATTATGCCTTTGTAGTTGATCTCAAATCTTAAATTTTGTTCTCTAGCAACTTAGCCTTGATTATATCACTTTGATTGTGATGCTATGAACGAGTACTGTACGATTAAGTTGCTTCAGTTTGTTTGCGATCGCTTAGACTTAATTTCATTAGATTTGGAACGATGTTTGTTTACTTTAAGGGCTCACATAACCATCGTTCATAATTCATTTTGGTCTCGAAAATCGAAACTTCACAATTCTAGTAACTTTATATGTTTCGTTTCTGCATGTAGTCTTTAATCTTTATAACATTGTTACCAAATATTATGCTCTATTCTCAAATCTCAATAAACCAACAAACCATCAAACTCAGATTTATAAGAGAGAATGAATTCTAGAACCCTAATTCTGAATCATGTTGTTGCAGTGCCTCGGAATTTCAGATTATTGGAGGAGCTTGAGCGTGGTGAAAAGGGTATTGGAGATGGCACTGTGAGCTATGGAATGGATGATGGTGATGACATTTACATGCGTTCTTGGACAGGCACCATCATTGGTCCTCACAATGTAATTTGTCTAAATTGCCCCTCAATTTCTCTCTTTTATTATGTCTAATGATACCCTTTTTTTGTGAGGTTTCAGTCTGTTCACGAAGGTCGCATTTATCAATTGAAGCTATTTTGTGACAAAGATTACCCTGAAAAGCCTCCAACTGTTCGATTTCATTCGCGAGTCAACATGACTTGTGTCAATCATGAGACTGGAGTGGTATATATATAAAAAATAATTAAATATTAATGTCTTTTACTCATTTAGTCCCAAATGACCTATTTGCCCCTATCGTCTCATTTGTTAACGTAGGACATCATTTACTATTTGTATTTGTAAACGACAGAACAGAATTGGTTGTACTGTGTTTTTGGTTATGTCAACGGGACAAAAGACGGAAATGCCCTTCGTATTGTGTCATCCAACATAGTCTTAGAAAGTTTGTTCTTGATTTGACATTTGCAAAATCGATAAAGTTTAGCCTTTTGCAATGAAGATTGCAAGGTCTTTTACTCTTGGAAATGGTCAAAAGGTGAAATGACCGATTTGCCCATGATGATTTTTAATTGTTTTAGGTGGAGCCGAAGAAGTTTGGGATAGTGGCGAATTGGCAGAGAGAGTACACAATGGAAGATATATTGGTGCAGCTGAAGAAAGAAATGGCGGCCCCACATAACCGGAAGCTTGTTCAACCACCGGAAGGTACTTACTTCTAGATGATGGTGATGATGATCTCATGATCATGATGATGATGATGATGATGTGATGTTATAATAGATGAATATGATGATGATGATGATGATGATGATGGATAGTTTTGCATATTTCTTTATGCAAAAATTAATGGTTTGGAAGTAGAGGAAGGTTAATGTCTTCTTTCTATTTTGACTTTTTCATGGATATGTTTGATTCATGTGATTCTTGTTTGTGTCAAATGTTTGATATATGCAACTTCTGTTAGTAAATCTTGGGTTGATGTTCATCTGCAATTTTTTTTTTTTTTTCCTTTTCATGATATTTTAGGTACATATATATTCAAGTGATTTACTAGAATTCTGCGTTACAAGTTTTTCTTTTGTAAATTGAAAGAATAGAAGGTCAAGTTCTATAAAAACCACTGAAGTTTTTCTTTTTCTGTTTAACCAACAAAATATATTTTTCTGGTTTTACCATTAAGAGTAGGTTTTCTTTTTTTTTTTTTTGAGAAAAAAACACTGAGTTTTTTGGGTGATGAATTGCAAAAAGATAATTGGGAGATTTATTATTTTGGTGAAAGATGTTTTCTTAAAAAAATTCCGAAGGCTTAATAATTAAAAAAAAAAAAAAAAAATTCTTTCGGGTGGTTAAATGGAACAAAATCCATGGTTTTCATAGAATTCGAAATTTCATGTAGTGGTTGTTTTTATATAAAAAATGTGGTTAAAAAATTAAATAAAAAATTGTTCCTTTGGTGGTAAAAAAATCATGCTCATAGTATGATTATAAAGAAAAAGTGCCTTTTATTGTAAAGAGTAAATTACACGAATTGTCCATAGGGTGTAAGGGAGCATGTTGATGTGTGATTGATATTAAAAATGTTTTTTTTTCCTATTATATATCCAAATTGTTTCATGTATCTTCATGTGTGGTTGATTTTAGCCTTAAGTGAGGGTTGCATATATATATATATATATATATATATATATATATATATATATATATATATATATATATATATATATATATATATATATATATACACACACACTAGGTGTGAGTCCCGTGTATTACACGAGTTGATTTAAAAAAATATTAAACATTAAAGCGTAAACAAAAAATATTTTTTAATGTAAAACTTTAAAATAAAAAAAAAAGAAAATATTTATTGCAATTTAATATCATATATATATATATATATATATATATATATATATATATATATATATATATATATATATATAATACTTTCCATATATAAGTATATGATTTTAATTTTAAAATTGAAACAAATCAAAAATTGATAAGTGGATAATATTTATTTAAAAAATATCACAAAATGATAAGTGTCAAAACTCATGAGAGATTGACATGTGGCAAAAAAAACCTTAATTTATTAAGGAGGATATATATATATACACTCCAAAGTGTACTTATTTACTATCGTATGTTACTTTTTTGTAAACCCTGAGATGCTATATTGTCATTACCGGAAAATCATAGCTGATAGGTAAAGGCTTATGAAGCGGTAGAAGGTAGATGTTGATGGTGAAGGGAGATTCATTTTTGTTTAGAAATTTGGTGATTTGGATCATGAAATCATGCGACTCATTTAGTGATTTGATAGTTTTATTGAAGTTTTGTATGTAATATTACATTTGTATTAATAAGTTAAATATATTAACTTGATAACTCTTAGCATCATTAAAATAATATATTTAAATTAACAAAAGTTTTTATATTAGATTTGATAATTCATAAATGTAACATTGAAATAATAATATTTGTATTTAAGAATTAATTTCCTTTAATAAATATAATATAATAGATGAAAGTTAAAAATTTAACATTAAAATGAAACTAAGAAAGAAGCTACAACTGAAATTAACCGATTATTGACTATTAGGAGGGACAGTTTTATGTAGGGGTGTGCACGGTGCGGTTTGGTGCGGTTTCGAGTCAAAACCGCAAACCGCACCGCATATGCGGTTTGAATATTTTAGAAACCGCAAACCGCACCACAGATGTTCAAAACCGCGTGATGCGGTGCGGTTTGATACGGGCAGTTTATGCGGTTTAGTTGCGGTTTGTGCGGTTTGATGAGTTGTTCAACATTATATCTATCAAAAAACCAAAAACCCGACCGGGTTAAACAAATTAATTGCTTTCATTTTATAAAAACAAATACAATTTTCGAGTTAAATCGTTTTTAATAAATTGTGACTCATGCTAATATAGTTTTGTATGTATCATTGTTATTGTTTTATATTACCGTTATAGTTGCTATATTCTTGTAAACATGAGATCTTAATCTAATAGTGATTTAATGTTATATTATAGATATTTGATTATTGTAAGAAAAATATATACATAATTTCTAAATCGTGATTTGAAGTTATAAAAAAGTAAAGAAAAAAAAGTATATATATATATATATATATATATATATATATATATATATATATATATATATAACATGCGGTGCGGTGCGGTTTGAACCGCAGTTTTATAAATACAAACCGCAAAATACACCGCATAGTGCGGTTTGATAAAATGATGAACCGCAAACCGCACCACGAAATTCTAAACCGCATTATGCAGTGCGGTTTGGTGCGGTGCGGGCGGTTTGTGCGGTTTGTGCGGTTTATGCGGTTTTTTGCACAGCCCTAGTTTTATGAGGTGTCCAATTGTAACATCGGGCAAACGCTTGACATGTCTGTATGTAATGTAAAAGTTTTTGAAATTTTTTCTATCTACTAAAACAATATGCAACTAGGTAAAAATGTGTTACTTTAAATTGCAAATGTAGAAGCCCAAAATTATATTTAGAAACCCAATATTTCAAGCCCAAAAAAGAAGAAATAGGCAAATAGCCCAATGACTTATGCTAGCCTTGGCCCTTGTCACCTTGTGGGATCCGATTCGGAAATAGAAGAAGAAAAAAAAATCGGCAGTAGCATTCAAAGAAACTCACTGGTTGTTGTCTTCGCTACTCCCTTCTGTTCTTGGCTCCCACAATCGCACTCCGCACATACATCTTCTACTTGGTGACTCCAAGCTTTAAATCGGGTACAAAATAAACTCCCTTTCTGTTCCATTGAAGTAGAAGTTTTGTTTTCTCCAAGCCCTAGAACAAAACAATTAGGTTTGATATTTTGAAATTTTACCAATTGTTTAGGTATTCGAAAATTGTTATATTTTTATCGAAGTTATTGTTTGATTTGATGAAATTAATAGTTATTTAGTTTAATATTGAATCGTAGTTTACCCTTAGTGATTTCACATTTTCTTATGGTTGATTTCTAATAGATGGAATATATTGATTACCAATCTTTTATCTAGCTATTATGATCAAATATCTAGACTTACTAGTTTATGTATTACCATGCAATGATCATGTACAAGTTTAACGCTAAATTGATAGTGAGCACAAATTGGACTATGAATGATAAAGTTACTTTCCTATGATCAAGTTAAGCAACCAAGCACAAATTAAGATTAATTATGCTCTTTAACACAGTTAAAGTTACTAGCTAGTTGATTTCTAATGGATGTAATATATTGATTACCAATCTTTTATCTAGCTATTATGATCAAATATCTAGACTTACTAGTTTATGTATTACCATGCAATGATCATGTACAAGTTTAACACTAAATTGATAGTGAGCACAAACTGGACTATGAATGATAAGTTACTTTCCTAGGATCAAGTTAAGCAACCAAGTACAAATTAAGATTAATTATGCTCTTTAACACAGTTAAAGTTACTAGCTTTAATTAGCTAGTCTAAGATGTGGTTAATCCTAACTTTAATTATTTAATGATCATAAACAATTAGGAAAACAAGTTCATGCAAATAGAATGATCATCTACTACGTTAAACTAATATCAAGGCATTTAAAGACTAGAACTAAACATGCTAGGATTTATCAAACATAAGTAAAAATGTAAAATCAAATATAAAACACCCGGTATTCAAAATCAACACATATGATCAGGCTTCATCTTCACCAAACAGAAGTATGGGGTGATTATCCCATAACTAAAAATGAAACAAACAATAAATCTAATTTAATTAGAAAATACATGGTAAAATCTAGCAAACCGAATGATTTGATGATGTTCTTCCCTCAATTCTCTTCAACTCTTGCAATTTATTCTGTTCCTAGCCTTCTCTAGGTTTTCTATAGGTTTTTAGTCATAAATCAAAGCTTATTCCTCAAGCCAACCTCCTAGATTCGACCTAATATCTACATATTTATAGTTGCCATATATCTGACCACTACGACCTGGTTGGCCGCCACCACGTCGTGGTCTTCTATGAAATCCCGTATGTGGCAAGTCACCGAAGCTTCTAGATTAGGACACGTAGCCATGTCGTAGCCTTGAGATCGCCACGTTATGGAATGCAAAACTGCACAACTTCTCTTCCAATTCCACGTTGCTGCTAACTTTGGCCTCCAAGATTCCAACTTTTGTCATATTTGGTCCCTTTCCTTCAAGATTGTCCTTTTTGGTTGCATATTGTAATTTAACTCAATAAGTACCAAATATGTTTGCAATTAACCAAAAATATAGCTTAGAATGTATTAAAATACTACCTAAAAATATGTATAAATATGTCCATATCAAAATACCTCATACTTGTCTTTTGCTTGCCCCCAAGCAAAACTGGTGTTTTTATTCTCATCACATCAAAACCCTAGCTACAAACATTGCACAAGACAATCCATTTTGAGCCTCTCCATTACTATAAGACCGCAATGCATGTATTTGTGTCTATATTTTCCTAAGAACCTCCCCAATCCTAAATACTTACGATCCTCATAAACACTCCCCCACTTATTTTGAACAACACTCATTTTATGCATCCTCCGAATATATCCCCATAAAACTTTCTTAAACTCTAGGTATTTTTGGTTAAGCTCTCAAGCATACATATAGAAAAATAACCTAGAAAGAAAATTTACAATAAAAATAACAATTGAGTCTTCGAATTTTGGATTTCTTGAACTTTTCTTCACAATATTTCTTTGATTTTCATAAATTTATAGACTCTTATTCTCAAACTTTTGCAACTTTTTTTCAATTTTTTTTCTATTTTTTCACCTTTTTC